CCTAGTCTGGGTGACAGAGTGAGACTCCAACTAAAAAAAAAAAAAAAAATTAGCCGGTCATGGTGGTGCACACCTGTAGTTCCAGCTACTTGGAAGGCTGAAGCAGAGGGATTGTCTGAACCCAGTAGGACGAAGCTGTGGTGGCTGTGAGTGTGCCACTGCACTCCAGCCTGGGCAACAGAGTGAGACTCTGATTTTTTAAAATTGTTTGTTTGTTTTTTTGAGTTGGAGTCTCACTCTGTTGCCCAGACTGGAGTGCAGTGGACGCTCCCGACCACCACAGCCTCGACCTGCTGGGCTCTGGCGATCCTTCCACCTCCGCCTTCCGAGTAGCTGGAACTACAGGCGCTCGCTACCACGCCCGGCTAATTTTTTTTTTTATTTTTTTATTGTAGAGATGAGGCCTCGCCTGCCTAGGCGGGTCTCAAACCCGCGGGCTTAGGTAATTCACTCGCCTCAGCCTCCCAAGGCGCAGGATTACAGGCTGAGCCACCGAGCCCGGCTGATTAAACAAATTTTAAAAAAGAATCAGGCACAGACTCTGCTTTGAAAGACTAAGTATAGCCACTGCCACTCTGTCTTTCAGTCCCTCCCCAAAGTCAAACCCAGGTTAAGAGAAGCCCCCAAGGGACTACTACTCTTAGCCTAGCCTTTCTTCTCATTCTGCATTCTTCCCTGACCTGCTGTGTGACCTTGAGCTGACTCCTGGTGACAGTCCCTCCTGGATCCCCTTGCCTTCTGGCTTGAGATCAGGATATTTGTTATGCATCTCCTGCCCCCCAAGATTTTGGCAGTTACTGATTCTCTACCTTGACTGAGCATGGTGGCTCATGCCTATAATCCCAGCACTTTGGGAGGCCGAGACGAGAGGATTGCCTGAGACCAGGGGTTTGAGACCAGCCTGGGCAACCTGGGAGACCTCATCTCTACAATAAATCAAAAAATTAGCCGGGCGTGGTGGCGCGTGCCCGTGGTCCCACCTACATGGAAGACTGAGGCCGAAGGATCACCTGACCCCAGACGTCAAGGCTGCGGTGGCCGTGAGCATGCTACTGCACTCCAGCCTGGGCACAGAGTGAGACTGACTCAAAAAAGAAAAAAAGATTCTCTATCAAAGCCATGGTTCCTATTGGGTGACCTGCACCCATGAGTACAGCTCTGGACATTATCGAGGCTCCCTCCCTTGCCCCTTTAGGCCCAAGGGTGGTGATGCCACCCCATTACTACAAGTCCCAGGGTTCTTCACCCTTCCTGCCCACACCTCTGCGAACAGTCCCTTCATTAAATCCTCTTCTACTTTGAGTGTGACTGTCTCCTGCTGAGACCCCTACATTAGGAACTAAACCCAGGAAAGGTGGGCCCTGACCAGAGAATTGAGGGAAGCTGTCTCTCTTTTTTTTTTTGAGTTGGAGTCTCACTGTCGCCCAGACTGGAGTGCAGTGGCCGCTCCCGGCCACCGCAGCCTCGACCTGCTAGGCTCCGGCGATCCTTCCGCCTCAGCCTTCCGAGTAGCTGGAACTACAGGCACGTGCTACCACGCCTGGCTAATTTTTTTATTTATTGTAGAGATGAGGTCTCGCCAAGTTGCCCAGGTGGGTCTCGAACCCACCGGCTCAGGCAATCCATTCACCTCAGCCTCCCAAAGCACGGGATTACAGCTTGAGCCACCGAGCCCGGCTAGGAAGCTCTCTTTCTAAATCCCCACCAAACATAAGAATCCGAAACATGGGCAGGGCATGGTGGCTCATGCCTCGCAGCACTTTGGGAGGTCCAGGCAGGAGGACTGATTGAGCCCAGGAGTTCAAGACCAACCTAGGCAGCATAGCAAGACTTTGTCTCTACAAAAAAATTTAAAAATTTGCCTAGCATGGTAGCACGCACCTGTAGTCCCCAGCTATTCAGGAGGCTGAGGAAGGAGAATCACCTGAGCCTAGGAGATCAAGGCTGCAGTGAGCTGTGATCATGCCACTGCACTCCAGCATGGGTGACAGAGTGAGACCCCAAGTCAAAAAGAAAAGAAACATTGTAACAGATTTCATCCTGAGTATAGAACGACCTCCTGGCCACCACTCCAGGCAGTGTCCCCACCCAGGAGTCCCTCTAGTTGCCATTCTGGGAGAATGGGGCAGAGAGGGGGATGTGAGTGAACATGCGTATGGGAGGAAGGGAGGCCCACTGGGAGAGCAAAGAGACACCAGAAGGCCGCGGGGGAGGAGCGGCCGTGGTGGCATGCTTCACCATACCCCAGAGCAGGTCCAATGACCCTGGGATGCCGCTCCAACTTCAGCTCCCTGTCAGCAAACTGGGCAATCAGTACCCTCTTTACAGGATTGTTGTGAAGAGCAGTTGAAGGCGGGGCTCCACACATGAGCTAGTGGACGTGAACTTGCTCTGCACGCTGACAGCAGCACATTCCCCATCATTGCGGATGCAGGTGAAGGCCATTCTGCTCACTTTCCTTGTGCCAAGAGCTCCAGTAACACAGCTAGAGGTGGGAGGAGGCTGGTTCAGCGATATCCTGGCAGGGCCCTTAAACCTACAGTTTCCAGAACCAGGGAACCATCCAAGTATTGGAGCCTGAGACCTACCTCTGCACTTAATACGTGACTTTAGGAAAGTCACTCCACCTCCTGGAGACAGTTTCTTCTCTGTAAAATTGGTTAATACTTTGGACCTCACTGGCTTGCTGTGAGGATGAGCTAAGAACACAAATAGCATTTAATCAAGTGCCCAAGAAATATTAACTTTCTTTTTTTTTTTTTTTTTTTTTTTTTTGAGTTGGAGTCTCACTCTGTTGCCCAGACTGGAGTGTAGTGGCCGCTCCCAGCCGCCGCAGCCTCGACCCTGCTGGGCTCCGGCGATCCTTCTACCTCAGCCTTCCAAGTAGCTGGAACTACAGGCACGCACCACCATGCCTGGCTAATTTTTTGATTTATTGTAGAGATGAGGTCTCGCCAAGTTGCCCAGGCGGGTCTCGAACCCACGGGCTCAGGCAGTCCACTCACCTCAGCCTCCCAAAGGTGCAGGATTACAGGCT